GGCCCCACCTCCCAATATCACCACCCTGGGAACCAAGCCTCCAATCACATGAACTTTTAGGGGCCAGATTAAACCATATCTAAACAATAGCACTTAACCACTACTTAAATTTCCTTTCATTCCTAACAGTGTATGAGGGTGAGCAATTAAGGTCCTGTTTGGGTGATGCTTGGATCCTCGGTACCCACCATAGGGCCAGGCCTGTAGAAGGGGTAGAAGTAATAATTGTTAAATGTATGAATAAACTATTGTTTTGTGTATGATTGGTTTGGTGATAAATGTAAATTATAATTCTCAGTCACACCTGTCACAATGGTTGTAAAAAGTCTATTTGTGGATAACCTCTAGGTGTGCCCCCATTTCAATGGATTATAAGAAGCTTTTCCCCTAACATAAGAACCGACACTGGATATCTTCTGTCACCACATTTATTCAAACTGACATCACATGGCTTCTGTTAAGATACACTGAGAACACAGAATTCCCAAAAACGCATAGATTACAAAGAAACATCAGACAAACTCAAACCAAGGAATATTCCACAAAGAAACCAGTTCATCTTCAAAATGCCATGCTATTAATACACAGAAAGGCTGAAGAACTGCTCCATACTGAAAGAAACTAAAGAACCATGAAGTTTTCAATCCTGAATCAAATCCAGGACCTACAGAGGACATTTTGGGACAATCTGTAAAATCTGAATAAGGTCTGTAGAGTAGATGGTTATATCAGATCAATGTTGATTTCCTAATTTTGATGGTATGTATTCTAAGTATGTAGGAGAGTAACTTAAAATAAAAAGAGTGTTCACCACAACTAGTACACCATGAACACTTTCTGGTTCTGTGGCATATGTGGATTAGAATATGCAACTTGGATATGATTATCAAATTTCAGTTACCTGTAAGCAATCCATCATGAAAGGATTGAGGACATGGGGTAATGTATTGACACTGAAAATTCAAATTCACTGAGCACAGGGAAAAAAAATGACCAAATGGTCAGTAAAAGAAGCATAGAGCACTGAAATGCGGGATAAAAATCACTCAAAAAAAGCAACTGTCAAATCTGGGCTTGGATTTGGTGATTAATCAATTATAACAAATATTAAGAGGCATAAAGGGAACAGCTAGCCTCATATCTAATGGACTTATCAAAATTGTTATCAGGAGACCATTATTGGCTTCATTAAAAACTAACTCTTAATACTATATAGTAATAGAAAGAAACAAAATAGAGACACATGCTACAACACAGATGAGCCTCAAAAATATCATGGTAAATGAAAGAAGGCAGACACAAAAGACTATACATGGTTCCATTTATATGAAATGTCCAGAAAAAGCAAAACTATAAAGACAGAAATTAGAATAGTGGTGGCCTAAAACTGGGGATGTGAAGAGGAGATTAACTATAAACTATATCTCGATTTTCTCATGTAATAGTAATAATTATAGCACCTCATAAGGGTTCTTATGAGATGAGTGAATGAGATAATACAGGTAAAGCTTAGAACAATGAGCTGCACTGAGGAAAGGCTCAAGATGTATGCACAGCTTGAGAATCTGGAAAATAAATTTCTTTCCAGGCTTATTTAAAAGTGTATTAAAATAAATAAAACTAGAAAGAAATTTATCACAACATGAATACAATAAATTAAAAACACAGAAGAAAGTATAATAAAGATTCAGCAACAAAAAATCCTAGACCTATTCCTTAAGATAAATAGCTTAAAATATTTGGGGAGAACTTTTAAAATACACATATATAAGGAATAAGAGCAAAGGAAAACATACTAAATTATCTTGTAATTCTGGATATTAGGATAAGGATAAGGACAAGGAAATACTGAGACTCGTACCTAGTCTCCTTTCCTTCCTTACATCTTCTTAAGTTGACATTTTGGCATGTAATTTCACAATTACAAGATTTTTCGGTATTTTCTACACATGAAAGTCTTTACTGAGAGACTTAAGACAGTAATTTTTTTTTAACTGGGGCCAAAAGCATCTACCTCACTGACATATGTACATTGATTTTATAATATAGGCTATGGTATTGGAGGCACTAAATTTTTCCCTTCCCAGTAGGCGTCAAACAATAAACGTAAAATGACTCCTGAACTCAATCCTATTCATGAGCACTTTCAATACAGGTAAACAGAGAGAAAAGTTGCTAATCCACCATTCTATCAGATAAATAAATGGTTGTTTAATTTTAATCCTTTGAAATAATCACTATTTTGAATATAATCTGTGTATCTTTGGTTAACTATTTTCTCACCAGCATCAACATTTATAATCTCTTATTTAATATCTCTCAGACCATTTATAAAAAGTACTTCTGTTTTAATTGTTCTCTGATTCTTTAAGTTTTTCCAGAAAGGCTTCTAATATGAGGAGAGAGTAGACACAAATTTCAATATTTAATAAATTTTATCTTGATAACTTCAAAAACAAGTTTACACTTTAAATTGCATTATAAAAAATACATTAGTCTTCACATTAGTTTTACATGGAAATATATAATTATTTGAATATTTAAATATAGCTTTTCTTTAAGCAAAAAAAAAGTGTTACTCAGAGCCCTAGTTACATAAATAATTTAAATGCACAAATGCAAAAACACACATTACACAATATTGTCCACATACTGTATAACTCAGGACAATTACAATAAAAATCTATGCAAGATACTGAAAAAGGACAAGATTGATAAAATATTCATTATGGTTGTAATTTGACTCTTTACTATGAAAAGAATATAATGCATTCGTGACTACACAAAATCACCAATTGTTTTATATAATCTGCAAATTAAGCCAACATTTATTTAGACAAAGGGGCACATCTTGTATCCTATCAAATTCTGAAAGCAATTCATTTCCAATTTAACTCAAGTAATAATTTTTACAATATCAAGTTTTCAAGCTTGCCTAAAATAATGATGGTTATAATAAGAACTTAAGTAAATACTTCCAAGATGTTAAACAAAATCATCAGTGTTGTAGTGTTTATAATTTTAATAATGTATATTTTAAATAAAAACCTTTTGACTTTTGTCCCTTAAAATGGTACTTAGACTAGCTTCCAATGTGTAAAAGGTAGTAACTTTTTTTTAACTTTTATTCCTGATCACTTGCTTCTCCCTATGATGTAATCACAACAGATACAATTTGTCATATTTACGTCGCACATTATTTCCACATGAATTCTTGCTTTTAAACTTACACTCAAAGAATGTCTATTGATAGTACCTAAGGGAGTGAAGTGTCTATTCCATAAGGAAAAAAGACATCAGTACCCAATCTGAGTATTTTCACATATTGGCTGTTTGTTTACTTCCTAATCAGTAGGACAGAGCTTTCTTTCTAAATTAAATTTGGAGGATGATTGTGAACTAGAGGCCCACAGTGATATTTTAAGAAAGGAAATTAAAATGTTTGTATATAACGAGGCAAGGTTGAAGAAATGCTATATATGTTGCTTTGCAACTAAAAGATACACCACATTTGTCCACTTTTTTCAACATAATTATGTTTTAAATTTAGAAGTAAAGAAATTACATCAAAACACCATCATAACACACCCACAGGTTAAATAATGGCCCCTGAAACAAAACCACATTTATAGTTCATTAATTCTAAGGTAACACATTTTTTAATCTCTGAAATCAAGACACATCTTAACACTGACTCTAGTTTCAATAAAATATAGTAGTTACACAATATAGGTGAAATCATGTTTCCCCTTAACATCAATGACTGAAAGAGATTCAGGATCTTGGCTTAATAGGATAACTGGATTCATCTGTTCCAGCTTAACCAATGTTCCTGAATAAAGGATATGAATATGCTCAAGTATCCTAGACTTATGCTGTGTATCTTCACATCTTTTAATCTATTAAAATCAGTTAAAGATAAACTATCAAATCAATTATCTAATTAGATAGTGTAGGATAATCGATTTGATAGTTTAAGATAAACTGATGTACTAGTTTTTCACTTGCAAAATGGGCCTCCATTTAGGTTACCAGTTTTATTCAATTTTTTGAAATATTAAGTAATTTACTAAAGCCAATAATTAATGGCCTCCCCAAATAATATTAACAAGCCAATAATTTCAGTTCAAGTTATTAAAAGTGGTAGGTAGTAATGTATAAGATATTTTAAAGGGATAGGCCATAAAATTAACTAGTTTTTATATCAAACCACCAACCTTTTATGTAAAAGGGAGTAAAGGTGGTTAAAAAGCCTAATCACGCTAGTAAAATTTTTTCCCCTTAAGATCTAATAATGCTAAAGAGGAGACTATGAGTCCATATCCAAATGAGGAAAGTTACAGACTTTCAGATCCAATTTAAATGAAGCAGAAGGAATTTGTATTGTATCTATAAAATCACCAGGCACTTTTTAAAACTGAAGATTATCGAATCTCATTCTCCGGAATGCTTTTTAAGAGAAAGATAAATTATATTTTGTTTGTGATAGTTTAAGTCAACCCTGTTTAAAAGCTGAGATAACTCATTATAGTTCCTTCTAATTATCCAGTTAGAATACTGTATTGACAATGCTTCTCTGATATAGAATGTAAGTATTTATGCATTTGTCTCAATTTTTTAAAAGAAGATGACATTAATAAGTTTTTTATGTTCATTCTCCTAATGTTATAACTTTCTTGCACAAGAAAGATCATAAAAAAATAAATAAGAAGGACATAATTGAGGGACAAAATTCTATATACTGCGCTAAATTATGACAAATTAAGATGAAGCTCTTCTACAGAAAATGTTGGACAAAGGTTGCTTCTGAATCTTTAAAAAAAAAAAAGGACCCTAAACACTAATTTTAAATGAATATAAAAGTTCTGAAAAATAATATCTATAGCAAAATAGTTTAAGGTTAGTTTTCCCACCAAAGTTGGGAAAGCTATGTGCACTGAAGTACCAAATGTATTTTAATTGAAGTACTGAATCCTCAACTAGACGTAACACAAAAATTTCTATTTTACCTCATTACTTTTCATTTTGCTTGCAAGCCGAGTCACCATTCTATCAGAATCTGGTATGTAACACGAACTTCTCAAATCATATTCTCTAACAGGTATAGGCCTTTTCTTTTTGCGGCGATTTCTTCTCTTAGCCTTCTTTCTTCCTACAGCACTTCTTCCTACAGCACGGCTTCCTACAGCACGGCTTCCTACAGCACGTCTTCCTACAGCACGTCTTCCTACAGCACGGGAAGTGCGCTGTGCAGGCTGCTTCAGAGGACTCACGATAGCCCTTAACTTCTCTTTAGCACCAGCTGGTGTAACTGAGGTGTCCGAAAGTGTTTGAGTTGATTTATCCACCTCCTCTAGCCTACTGGCACCTGATTTTTTCTTCTTAAGATGCATTCTAAATAAAGTGGTCCTGGATTGGTACCTATGACGCAGAAAAGCAGAGTATTTTGAAATATATTTTCTAATTATGTCATTTGCTTTGGTCCGAATCCAAACTGACCATTTTTCTGAAGCTGTTCTGGCATTCTGATGGAGAATAACTGCTTTAAACACCTTTTTGGGAAAGCTTGGGTTTCTCATAACATTCTTTCTTTGAATTTTCTTTTTCCTTTTACTTTCTAAAAACTCATATTTAACTGGTTTTGGAGAGATTTTGGCAACATCACGACTTAAAAGAGTTAGCTGGAAACTACCTTCCTCTGGAAACTCACTAGCATTTACAGCCTCTGAAGTTTCTAGAAATGTAGAAGATTCACTGGTCCTACAACGTGACCTCAATTCATATCTTGCTGGTATTATCATTTGAGATGTTGAAGCATGGTTTTGTACAGCATCACTGTCTCCCTCACTAGAGTTTAAGTCACTCTCATGATGAATGTGACATTTACAACATATGTCAGACTCTGATATTACCACGTTTGATGGAAAATTATTTACAATTTTCAGAAGTGATGGGCAATTATGGTTACTCTGTTTATATTTGCACAGAAACTGTAGATCATTATCACAAACACAATGGTTCACTTTAGGTGAGTCGCAGGATTCATCTTCCTTCGGTTTAATATTTATAGAAGTAAGAATACGAATTACAGGTTTGGGTTGTCCAGGCTCCAAAACTTTAATTTGTGATCCAGGCAATTCAACTGTCCCAATTTTGATGATTTTTTTCTCTTTTCCGTCACTCTGCACACACTTTTTTTTTGGTGATTCTACCTCTAGTCTAACTATTTTTCTTTTCTTCAATGGGTAACTTATAAAACTGGTTTGAGTTCCATGGCTAACTTTTTCTATCTGGCTCTGAGAAGCCACAAACAAATTCTGTTTAGAAAGAAGCCTCTCTGCTAGAGGATAATGACAGTTTGGTTTCTCTACAGCCACTACACAGTCATCAATGTCTGAAAATCCACCTGCAATATCTTCAAAACTTGACACAGTTTGAACTGATGCAGTGGTCTGATTAAAGATAGGCCAGGCAATGTGTCTTTCTTTATACAAAGTAATGATTTGGGTCTTAGCTTCATTATTAAAGTAACAGCGGAAATGACCTTCCTTAAAATCCTTCATAAGGGCATTAATTTTTGAGTGATTTTCTCTTATTATTCGAGACCACTTTCTTCCCAGAGATGAAGGAAGTATCTGTGATAAGGCCTCAATAACTGGTGCATCAAGATCATCCATGACCTCCTTGTCTTTTCCCAGGTTCCTTCCAGAACCAGTCTTGGGAGCAGAGCCTGATTGGGAATCACGACTCTTTTCTCCTAAGTCAAAAGTTACCCTCTTAACTGGGCGTTTTTTAACAGCTTCTCCAGGCTGGTTAGAGTCAGAATGATGAGAGGGATCACACTGAAAACCCCTCTCAAAACAAGATTTACAACTTTCTTGATCTCTACGTTTTGACTTTAAAGCACTTTTTCTAACTGTAGTTTGACAGATCACTGATGTAGAAGAGGAAGTGGAGCCCGTTGCAGAAACATTAGACTCACAGCTTTTATCTTTTTGATCTTTCCAAAGGTTGTCTTCCTTGTCAGTTTGCTGTACTTGATGAGTCACTGATTGAGTACTGCTTTCCAAATTAAAATTTCTTTCAGTACGATTATATTCACAACTCTTATCTTCTGAGTCAATACTTCTATCAGGTCCTTGTGACTGGTAAGTCATGGACTGATCAGAGGCATCACCACTAAAATCTATTTCATTACCACAAGACTGACAAGTTGAGTCTCCCAGAATAATATAGTCATTCTTCCGGTTTATTATTTTGAAAGACTTCTTGGGTTGGCTTGCCACTGAGTGAGAAGAGGCTTCCAAAACACTTCTTAGTTGAGAACCACAGTAGTTACAGTAGTTATTTCCAACATCAATGGACTCTGTATTTATACAGCTGGTTTCTGGGATAGTCATGGGAGGTGGGTCAGTCACTAACTCAAGAGGAACATTAGAATCAGATATTACTTCACGGTCACAATCACTATCACTGGCCATCACATCCACAAACACCACTGGTGGAGAATCTGATTCTCCATCTGACGTTTGGGATGATGAGTTAACTACTATTTGAAAAGAAACATCAGAATCAGACATCATTTCAGAATCACTTGGTTCGCTGGACTTTTCTTCCATGCCAAGCAGTTCTCTCTTCTGAAAGGTTGTTTCTTTGTAAGTCATTTGAGACGGGTCAACTTCTGACTGCAGATGAACACCAGAATCACATCTTATTTCAGAACAACAGGGTGTGTAGTTGTTATCTTCTAGGTCATTTTGATCTTCCTTTTGCAAGTTTATTTCTTTGACAGACACATGAGATTGATCTGCTACAAACTGAACAGGAACATCAGAATCATAACATGCCTCACAATCAACCAGTTTATAGCTCTTATCTTCCAGGTAAATATGGTCTTCCTTCAGATTGATTTCTGTGATAGATTTTTGCAACTGGCCAGCCACTGACTGACAAGAATCACTGGAATCAAAACGTATTTCAGGACCACAAGGATCACTGTTCTTAACTTCCAAATTAGCAGGCCTCTCTTCCAAAATTTGTGGTCCCTGAATCACTGATTGAAAGGGGATATTTGAAACATAAATTATTCTAGAACCACAAGGTTCATAGACCTTATCATCCAGACAAACATGTCCTTCTCTTGAAAGATTTATTTCTTTAGCAGGCTCTTGAATTTTAGTCACAGACTGAAGAGTTTTGTCAGAATCAAAATTTATTTTCTTTTCTGTCACTCTGTCACTAGGATTAACAATTTTATCTCCCAAGTCAACATGTTCTTTCCAAAGGTTCATCCCTGGAACTACTTCTTCAGTTTGGTCAGCTGCTGGCTTAAGTACATCAGAATCATATATAGTTTTAAAACTCTTGGCTTCATCCCTCTTATCTTCCATGTCAATGTCTTCATCCTTCCAATGACTTATTTCTTTAACAGTTTCCCCGAGCTGGTCAGCCACTGATTGAAGAGAGTCATCAGAATCAAAACTTACTTCAGAATCACAAGACTGACTGTGCTTGCCTTCTACTTCAAAGTGCTCTGGCTCTAAAGTAGTTATTTGAGGTTGACTGACTACTTCCTGAACCAAGAAATCAGAATCCAAACTTCTTTCAGAATTATATTGACTATTCTTACTTTCCAAATACATTTGATCTTCACTCGCAAGGTTTACTTGTTTAATAGCTACTTCAGGTGGGTTGGCTGTAGACTGAAGAGAAATATCAGTATTACGCACTGCCTTTGAACCACTAGGTTCATCAATCTTATTTTCCAGGTGCATAGTCTCTTCCTTCCATTGGTTTGTGCTCTTAATTACTTCAGGACGTTTAGGTAGTGTCTGAAGAGGGTCAACAAGATTGAAATGTATTTTAGAAGTACTAGGTGTGCTACTTTCATCTTTCAGATCAACATGTTTTTCCTTCAAAAGGGCCAGATGAGGTTGGTCAGTGATTGAATGAAGAGAGGCATCAATATTCACATTTATTCCAAAACATTTAAGTACAGTACTTCGACCTTCTGGCTTAACATGATCCTTCTCCAAAATAGCTGACTGAGGTTTTTCAGCTATTGACTGAGGAAGGATCTCAGAACTGAAAAGTAGTTCAGAATCACCATGATAATGACTCTTTTCTACAATATGCTTCTTTTTCTCTTTTCTTTTAACAGCTACTTGAGGTTCTGCCATAGGATAATGAGGAATATCAGAATCTGAATTTATTTCAGAATCAGTAAGTTCAGCATTTTTATCTTGGAATTCAGCATACTTTTCTTTTTGAAGCCATATATTTTTAACAACTACTGTGGGTTTCTGAATCACTGACTGAAGAGGGATATCAGAATCCAATCTTGTTTCAGAAGCACTTAATTCATTAGTCTTATTTTCAAAGGGTACATGCACTTCTTTCTCAAAGTTTATGTCTTTAAAGGGATCTTCAGAATGTCCAGTCATTGAAGGAAAAATGGTATGATAAGCCAAACTTAATTCAGAATCAGCAGGCTCATTTTCCTTATTTTTAAAGAGTACCTGCTCTTCTCTTTGAGGATTTAGCTTTTTATCAGCTACTTCGGGAGGATTAGTCACTGAATGAAGAGGGGCATAAGAATCCAAATTTATTTCAGAATCAATGAGTTTGTCATTCTTCCTTTCTAAATGTACGTATTCTTCTTCCTGAATGATTACTTCTTTAACAGCTACTTCAGGATGATCATTTCCTGAATGAAGGGGAATATCAGAATCAAAAGTTATTTCAGAAATACAAGATTCATTACTTTTATTTTCCAGATCAACAGGTTCCTCCTCACCAACAGCTACTTCAGGTTGGTCAACTACTGAGCAATCAGGAATATCAGAATCAAAAGTTATGTCAGAACTATTTGACTCACAGCTCTCATCTTCCAGGTTAATGTCTTCTTTTATTCTTTCAACATCCAGCTGAGACCGCTCAGTAACTGACAGAAGAGGGGAATCGGAATCAAATGTCAACTCAGAACTGGAGCACCCATAGCTCTTAACTTCCATGTCGACATTTAACTCTTTAAGATTTACTTCACCCAAAGCCCCTTGAGGTTGATCATTAGCTGACTGATAAAAAAAAGCATGAGAATCGAAACTTAGATAAGAAATGCTAGATGGAATACTCTTATTATTCTCTAGGTCATTATCTACTTTCTGAGGGTTTACTTCTTTAACTGCTACTTGAGATTCATCAGCCACTAATTGAGCATCAGCATGAAAACCCATTTCAGGACCATGAGACTCACAGTTCATATCCACAAGGTCAGCATTCTTCGCTTTCAGAAGATTTTTTTCTTCAACAGCCCTCTGGGGTTCATCAGCCACTGTCTCAAGAGAAACACCACAATCAAGATGTGCTTTAGCACGACTGGGTTTACGTTTCTTATTTTTTAGGTGGACGTGTCTGTGTTTCAGTTTTTTTTCTTTGACAGTCATTTGAGGTTGGTCAACTACTGACTGAGGTGAAGCATCACAATCAAAACTTGATTCAGAACAACTGGATCCATAGCTTGCATCAACCAACCTAACGTGAGCCTTCTTCCAAACTTGTTTTTCTGTAACAACCACTGAGGACTCATCAACCACTGACTCAAGTGAGAAAATGGAATCAGCACTTGATTCAGAGCTAGTACATCCATAGTCCCTATCAACCAAACTAATGTGAACTTCCTGAGGAAGGTCTACTTCTTTCACAGGCTGTTGGCGGTACTTTTTAGCTGACTGAGGTAAGTCTTCATCATAATCAGAATTCATTTCAGAACCACTAGTATCATAGCTTTCGTCAACCAGGCTAATACGCGCTGTATTCTGAAGACCTTCTTCTTTAACAATCACTTGTGATTGCCTGGTAACTGCCTGAAGAGAATCATTGCGATCAGAAATTTTTTCAGAAACACAAGATTTCTTATTCTTATGTGTTAAATCAGCATGTGTTTCCTCTAAAAGGTTTATTTCTCTATCAGACATTTCAGATTGATCAGTCAGTGAATGACAGGAGGAACCACAATCAAAACTCATTTCAGAACCTCTAGATTCATAGTTCTCATCTTCTTGGTCAACTCGCTCTTCCTTCCAAAGGCTTAAGTCTTGGACAGCCTCTTGGGATTGATCAGCTGCTGACTGAAGAGGACCACAATCAAACTTCACTTCAGAACTCAGTGAGAACTTTTGTTTCAAAAATGATGACTTCTTAAAAACCAAATGCTCTTCTTCTTGGCTACAATCCATGTTTGAAAGAAATTCCTCATGGTGCTTTGGAATGGCATCTCCAAAGACTCCTCTATCAGAAGGCTTGTCAGTTTTGTTCAGATTTCCTGCCAAGTTAGATGCTAATCTGGAAGAAGATTTAACTCTTACAGAATTTTCAGTACCCTTAAGTTCACAGAATTTAAAGCCAGGTGACAATTCACCCTGAGATTTTACTTCTTTCTGTAAAACCAACTTATCTGAATTTACACATAAAGGTTTCCTATTTGATTCTTTAGGATTCTTATATGAAACTGAAGTTCCTACAAGGGCTGATGGCACAGGATTTCTAGAGACCATGTCTAGCTGTTCAAGGTGTGTGTGAGCTTTGTTTGGGTCACATTTGCTAACTGAATCCAAGTGGACTGCTAGTGGTAACCTAGCAGTAGTAGTCGCAACTGGCCTATCATAAGACCTCTCAGGTAAACAACTGGCAGGAGCATTACAAATCACTGGGGGACGTACTGGATTTTTTCCACTATTTGTAGCTTGACCAATATCTACTGGATTTATTCTTTTCATACCACCACTCTCAATTTTAGGAACAAACTCCAAGGACTGCTGCTGTCCCTTCTCCAGTTTTTGAATAACTGATGGTCGAATTGATATCTCCCTTACAGGCTCCTGTGATTGATCACTAGGTTCAGAAGTCAACTCTTCAACAGAATCAGAACTCTCAGAGAGTGTTTCTTCTTCTATGGTTTCAGGAGTGTCCTGAGCATATTCTTCAGAAAAGAAATCTTCCAAATGAACCACTTCAGGTGATGCAGCATTCATAGACATCTCATTTTGTGCTCCTCTAAAAAAGAAAAAAAAAGGAGAAAAAAAACATAAAAATATTCTAACATCTGTTTAAAATGCAATAGTAAGTGTTATTTTCTTTCTACTCTAGACAATTCTTAAAGGACAAAGAATCAAGGCAATTACACTAAACAGTATATTGCATGTGCTTCAGGGAAGTAATTGTTTAAAAGAAGTACCTATTTAATAAATAAAAATGGCTCCCTCACATGAGAAAGAAATGCAAATTAAACCACATCTCATATTTTAGTCATTTATTAGAGAAGTAAATAGCAGAAAACTTGACACAAGTTACTTAACCTTATATGCCTCAGATTCCACCTCTAAAAAATGGAATATTATTTTCTCTCATGAGACCATTTTGAGGAGTAAATTAGCCATTATGTGTAAAGAGCATTTAAAAAGAAAAAAGCTGGCACATTTGCAAGGATTCACTAATGTCAGCTATTATTAAATTATTGTTTTGACAAGGGTACTTCAATACACTGTTGGTAGGAATATAGATAAGTTAACTTCAGATTATTGGTTAACCTTTTCTGACTGGTAACCTTTACAAAGAGCAATGTAGGAATGTCAATTAAAATTTTAAGTGTATACTCCCTCTGATCTAGTAATTCCCCTACTGGTTTTCTCATGTGTTTAATTAATTAGGAATATATGAGTATTCACTCCTTATTTTAATTTCTGATAATAGCAAAGGAACGGATCCACCTTTTGTGGGGAGGAGGTTTGCCGGGGACTGAACTAAGGGCACTCAACCACTGAGCCACATCCCCAGCCCTATTTTGTTATTTTGTTTAGAGATAGGGTCTCACTGAGTTGCTTAGTGCCTCACTTTTGCTGAGGCTGGCTTTGATCTCAAGATCTTCTTGCCTCAGCCCCCCCAGCTGCTGGGATTACAGGCATGTGCCACCACACCCAGTCGATCCACCTTTTTCAAAATTTTGTTATTTATTTTTTTAATTGTTCTTTTCAGATTACATGACAGTAGAGTGTATTTTGACATATCATTCATACATGGAGCATAACTTATTCTAATTAGGATCCCATTCTTGGTTGAACATGATGTGGAGTTACACTGCTCATTTATTCATATATAAACATAAGAAAGTTATGTCTGATTCATTCTATTGTCTTTCCCATTCTCATCTCCCCTCCCTTCCCTTCATTCCCTTTGTCTAATCCAATGAACTTCTATTTTTCCCTCCGACCCCTTGTTATGTTAGCATCCACATTTCAGAGAGAACATTTGGCCTTTGGTTTTTCTGGGATTGGCTTATTTCACTTAGCATGATAGTCTCCTAATGAGTGGATCCACTCATCAACTGGATACTGGTTAAATAATTAATGGTTTTTAATAAAACAATGTAAATTTTAAAAATAAAGGCAGCTTTATGTGTACTAATAAAAATCAATCACTATAAGCATTGTTAGTGAAAAGTAAGTTAAGTCTACCTAGAACACTAAATATTATAATACTAACACTAAAATGGGGAGAAGAGACAACACACTTGGAATATGTTTAGAGAGGGCAGATATGAAAATGGTATCTACTTGTTACCTGTGGAGAGAAAACTTTTTTTTTGAGATGGGTCTTGCTATGTTGCCCAGGTTGGTCTCTCACCCCTGGGGTCAATTTTCCTACCTCTACCTTTCAAGTAGCTACAACTATAGGCATGTGCCACCACACCTGGCTTAGGAGTCACTTTTGAATTATGCTTATGTATACATATTTCCCATTCAAATATTTAAATTATTTTTAAAAAGTCCTAAAACTTTGTACCTAAAATCAGCCAAGGAATCTTTTTTACTAGCATCAGGACTCAGAACATATTAGTAATCACTCTTTCTTATGTATAAGCAACTGACCTATGCCATCTTCTAAATTCTTAAAAAGGCAAAAATCCAGTCATAAAACAACCATCTCCCAAGGACTTTATACTATGTGATAGATCCTATGTTAAGTACTAAGGGAAATTCAAAGAAAGATGATCTGCCTTTCAAGGAGCATTCAAGTAGTGGCAGAAGGTATTACAGAAAATCACTGTAATTCAAAATTATAAGTAGTCATCATATCTAGACCTACAAAAAAGATTAAACTACAACAGCCAAAAGGAGCTTAAGGAGACATGAAAAAATAATGTAAGGCAGTATTCTAGATGAGATTCTCAAAGAGAAAAAGAGGTAAAACAAGAAAATCTTAGTTTAGAAAACTTAGTTTAGGTTAAAATTAAGGGAAACTAAACAAACAGTGACTTTAATTAATATCATAATGTACATGGTTAATGTGAGACTTTAACATTAAGGAAACTAAATGAGGGGACTACTATAGGAACTCTGTATATCTTCTCAATTTTTCTATATATCTAAAGCTGTTTTAAAAAATAATCTGTAGAGTCCCAGCAACACACAATATGTCTACAAAAATCAGAAATAACTGAAAGTAAAAAAATAAATCCTAAAACTTTTATTAAATATTTTACAATTTGAAAAATGCCATGTTTGCCTAACAGACATATGTACCAACAACATAAACTAAAATGGGGAGAAGAGACAATACTTTGTTAAAAAAAAAAAAAAAAAAAAGGACAACATACAACTGTCCTTTTTTTTAACAAAGTATTTTCATTCCCAAATAAAATTATTATCTTATTTAATATTAATTTGGGATTTAAAAAATAAAACAGTTAACCCTGACATCAAAATAATATGATGGGGCAAAAACAATTTTTTCCATACTTTTGAACTCTAAAACAAATATTTAAAAAATAATAATAATAATCAATGAGATTACAGTGCAATGATAATTTTTCCTTAGTTTTTCAGGACACTAGACTATCTTCATTTCTCTTAAGGACTATCACAACTATCACTGTTCTCAAAATATAATTTTAGAACAGAACAGGAAAGGAAGGAGGGGGAGAGAAGGAAGAATCATACAACTTTAAAAAATTGATAAAAATCCCAAAAAGGTTAGGAACTGCTATCTACATCTTTTGATTTGCTTCTATATTTGTGGGATTAAAATTTTCAACTAAATCATAACCCATATTTCTAGTTATTTGTAATTTATATACCAGAAAAAGCCCTCCAAAAAATCTAAGTAAGCATTGAAGATAATAGTTAAAGAAAAAATTACATAAAGGTATGTAAAAAAGTCATATAAAGCTTTTATGTAACTATTGAGCTAAAAATGATTTTTTTAACTATCAATAAAACAATTATATATCAAAAGCTGTGAGGTATTGCCAAAATGAAAATGTACTTTTAAGTCCTCCTGCATAATAAAAGAATTATTAAACACAAATTAACTGAGCATCTAATTCAAGAAGATAGAAAAAGAACACCAAACTACCCTAGTAAAAAGGAAAGTGAGCCAGGTGCAGTGGCACACACCTGTAATCTCAGCAGCTTGGAGGCGAGGCAGGAGGACTGCCAGTTTCAACAACTTAAGCAAGGCCCTAAGCAACTCAGTGAGACCCTGTCTCTAAATAAAGTACAAAAAAGGGGGATGGTGATGTGGCTCAGTGTTTAAGTGCCGCTGAGTTTAATCCCCACTACCAAAAAAAAAAGTGAAATAAATTAAGAAAAAAGAAAAACTAATAAATAAGAAAAAAACTAAAGCTAGAGCTAATTTTAAGACTAATAAAGAAATCTACAATGTCTCTAGAAAGACAGAAAAAAAAAAAAAAGAAACTATAAACTCTATAATTTAGAAAAAAATAAAGGGCTGGGGATGTGGCTCAAGCGGTAGCGCGCTCGCCTGGCATGCGTGCGGCCCGGGTTCGATCCTCATCACCACATACAAACAAAGATGTTGTGTCCGCCGATAACTGAAAAATAAATATTAAAAAAAAAATTCTCTCTCTCTCTCTCTCTCCCTCTCTCACTCTCTCTTTAAAAAAAAAAATAAAAACAAACAATGTAATACCTACATGGATTTTGAAAACTTGAAGGGACAAAGTGGTATTCAAGACCAGATATGTGTTGGAAAGCAGTATGGAAATTCCTGGGAAAGCTGGGAATGGAACCACCATTTGACCTAGCTATTGCCCTTCTTGGACTATTCCCTGAAGACCTTAAAAGAGCGTACTATAGGGATACTGCTACATCGATGTTCATAGCAGCACAATTCACAATAGTTAGACTGTGGAACCAACCTAGATGCCCTTCAATAGATGAATGGATAAAAAAAAATGTGGCATTTATACACAATGGAGTATTACTCTGCACTAAAAAATGACAAAATCATGGAATTTGCAGGGAAATGGATGGCACTAGAGCAGATTATGCTAAGTGAAGCTAGCCAATCTCTAAAAAACAAATTGCCAAATGTCATCTTTGATATAAGGAGAGCAACTAAGAACAGAATAGGGAGGAAGAGCATGAGAAGAAGATCACCATTAAACAGGGTCGAGAGGGGGGAGGGAAAGAGAGAGAGAAGGGAAATTGCATGGTAAAGGAAGGAGACCCTCATTGTTATACAAAATTACATATAAGAGGAAGTGAGGGGAAAGGGGGAAAAAAAACAAGAGAGAGAAATGAATTACAGTAGATGGGGTAGAGAGAGAAGATGGGAGGGGAGGGGAGGGGAGGGGGGATAGTAGAGGATAGGAAAGGCAGCAGAATACAACAGACACTAGTATGGCAGTATGTAAAAGACTGGATGTGGAACCCATGTGAATCTGCAATACATATACGGGGTAAAAATGGGAGTTCATAATCTGCTTGAATCAAATGTATGAAATATGATATATCAAGAGCTTTGTAATGTTTTGAACAACTAATAATAAATAAATAAATAAATAAGATCAGATATGTGGGCTGGGATATAGATCAGTGGCAAAGCATTTGCCTGGCAGTCACAAAGCCCTGGGTTCAACCCCCAGTTCAAAAAAAAAAAAAAAGAGAGATCAGATATGTATATGTACACACACATACACACAGAGACAAAACAAAATGCAGGAATTAGATATTACAGATGTGATGACATTTTATACCAGTATAAATTAGAAATACATTTATAAAAGAATTAAGTCCTGCCTCATACCCCATATAAAAACAAATTCTAGGATTATTTAAAATATTTAAAAGAAGAAACCAGGGCATGAAGGAAAAAATATATAAAAGAAACCACAAAGGAAATTTTTCCTTAGACCTGATTATATTAAAATATTTAATTTGCCTAGTGTAATGATGCCTGCCTATATCCCAGCTACTCAGGAGGCTGAGGCAGAAGGATTTCGAGTTTGAGGCCAGTCTTGGAAATTTCTTAAGACTCTGTCTCAAAAATAAAATAATATAGACTAAGGATGTAGCTCAGTAGTAGAACACCCTTAGGTTTTATTCCAGCACCAGAAAAAAGGGGAAAAAAAAAAAGTTGCATTTCCATATGGGAAAGAAAGAATAAAAGCACGTACAGTTCAAAGACAAACAACAGATTCTAAGAAAATACTAGTAACGTATTTAAAATACAAAGAACTATTATCAAAAAAAGAACTATCATCCATATTGAAATACTGCTTGCAGATTCAAAGTATAGAAACAATAGAAAAGTGGGCAAAGTATATGAATAAACAATACATAAGATAAGAAGCTGGGTAAATATGAGAATTTCTTGTACCAGTTTTGTAATGTTTCTGTATGCCTGAAATTATTACATAGTGAAAAGTTAAAAAAATAAAGACTTTTTTAAGGTCCATATAATCTGACCTCGAAGTTCAAATTCTAGGAATTTAAACCATAGAAATAGAGAGTTGTAAACTAGAAACACTCACATTTGACCCAGGATAGTCTATCTTTCCACCAGCTTAAAAAAATATATAGATTTTAAGAAGAAATTCTCCACTAAAACATTTTCACCATTTCTAGGTTAGTGTCTTGCAAAGCAGAAGTTTATCACTTTTTATACCAGTGGTGTACATCTCAGCTAATTTTGTAGGTGTGCTAATATTTATCTTACCTTGTCTTCTACAACTAGAGCTGAAAAATCACTATAGTATTTTATCTGATTTTCTTTTCTTTTTTTTTTTTTTGTCTTGGGTATTGAACCTTGGGTGGCTCTACCACTGAGCTACATTCCTAGCTCTTATTATTATTTTTTTTACTTTGTGGTAAAGTCTGCTTAAATTGCCCAAGCTGCATTTGGATTTGTAATCCTTTTGCCTCAATTTTCCGACTTTCTCAGATTATACCACCACATCCAGCTTAACCTCTTTTCTTTCTACCAATGTTTTTCTTTAACATAGGACATTAACTCTTAATGTTACCAAACTATTTATTTTTATTAAAACAGCCAAAACAAACTGATGTAAGACAAGCCATCAATGTTAAGATCATAAAAGGAGACAATTCTATTTGATACCTCTTCTACTCAGAGTTAGCAAACAGTTCCATTAATGTAGAAATGACTTAGTTTTTTACTTTGACTATTCTTACTCTGCTGTCACCCAGGTTTTCTGCTGCTAATCTTTTTTCCCCAAAATCGTTTACTGATGCCTTACAGTTGAAAGTACTAGAGGAATCTGTTGTTACATATTCATACTTGCACACAATGTAGCAATATAATTTGATCAACATCATTCCCCAGTATTTCTCCTTTCCCAGCCATCCTCCATCCCTGGGTTCCTTTCCTCTATTCTATTTATTTCCCTTTAATTTTCATGAAACACACCCCACCTTTATTTTCATTTTTTATAACTTTCACACATGAGAAAAAATACAACCTCTGACATTCTGACTTTTTTCCACTTAATGGTCTCAAAGTTCCATCCCTACAAATGACATAATTTCTGCTACTAATCTTTTAAGAACTATTTTTGCTCACCTTTTTATCCCTATTTAATCCTATGAGCACATATAAAAAACTTAATGATATATAATTATTTGTTGGCCAAAAACATTTAGGAAAAAGCATAGTATAGTCCCTATCTCCTATAGGGAAATTTTTTGTTACCTTTTTGCAGTGGTGGGAATTGAACTCAGGGCCTCATGCATACCAGGTAAGCACTGTACCACTGAACTGCACCCTAGCCCTGTAGTGAAATTTTGTCTAGTGATGTCCATTTGCAATTTTTACTTTTTTTTGGCTTAAGTAAAAAAATTCACTACAGGGCTGGAGGTGCAGCTCAGTGGTAGAGCCCCTACATTCAATCCCATTCGATCCCTAGTACCACACAAAATAATAATAATAATAACAACAACAACAACAATAGTAGTAGTAGCATTAACAGAGACAACTACTGTATCATAAAACTATGTGATACTATTATTCCACTGAGCTACCTTACCTGTTCTCTTGATAATTATATGGGTGATGTCGCAGTACGTCCTGCAAGAAACGTTCCATCAAACTACTGGTACATATCCGACGTCTACTCTGTCTGGTCAAGCTTCTGTGCTGAGCACTGAACAAATGCTATAAAGAAAAAAGTGAGTATTTTTAAATGAGTAATATTCATTTGTAAGAATTCACAAGATGGATTCAATTATATATTCCTGGTAGAGACATAAACTGATATCCTCTCTGTAGAGCAATTCTAAAATACAAATCTAAAAACCATTAAACTATCTTTCCCTTGGATACCGTAACTGCATTTCTCTAAATATATCCTAAGGAAATAATCTCAAATGTGAATAAGATGTCAAAAGAGTGCTTATCACACTATGTAATTAAAAAAAACTGAAAACTCTTAAGTGTCCATCAACGAAATCCTTAAATTACAATATGCCCTAAGATGTAAAATTATATAGCTATCTAAAATAATACAAATTTTAATAACATAGAGAATTGTTACATATCAAAAAAATGGGAAATGCAAATATAACATGTTTAGTTTTAACTCAAATTACAGTTTTAAAATGAATATACAAGTTAATGGAAGAATATACACCAAAATCTTAGAAGCATTTATATTTGTGGTATAATTATGGATAATTTTTAAGTTTTTCTTATAAATCCTTATTTTTATAATAAAAATCTGCTAAAAGAGAGAACATGGTTGGATCCTTTTATCTCACTGGTACTATGGATTGAACCCAGGGGGGCTTTACCACTGAGCTAAGTCCCCAGCCCTTTTTATTTTTTTATTTTGAGACAGGGTCTCACCATTTGCTTAGGGCCTTGCTAAGGTGCTAAGGCCGCCCTTGAACTTGGGATCCTCCTGCCTCAGCCTCCCAAATTGCTGAGATTACAGGTATGCACCACTGTATCCCAGCTGGATCCTTATATTTTAAAAGAACAAAGATTAATTCACAAAAAAAATTATTCTTTTTACTTCAGAGGTTAAAAATTCTGCCTTAAGTAAATACTGGCATAAATACACTAAATTCTTTTGTCCACAGAAAGATTCTGCCTTCACAAATATTATTTTGTGGACTAAAGTATATGATGTACCAAACACAGTGTTATTTTGTTTATGCAATAGTCTTGTTGATTTTTCAGTGTATGACTAATAAGTGTTCCCTTTAGACATAAAGAATCTGGGCACAAAGAAAGTAATTGTCCAAAGGTATATACCCAGCAAGTAGCAAGGTCAGGACTTGAGTCAACAACTAAAGTTTATAATAATACTGGGAGGAAATCACGTTTTACACAACATAGTGAATGTGCCAAAAGAACTTAAAATCAGGTTGCTACCTCCTGACCACTGTTAACAACTCTTGGAATCATTTCTTCCATGTTGACTTCAGAGGTTTTCTCTAGTTCTACTTAAGCTCCAGTAAGAATCTAAAATCATGACAGTCTTGGGGCTATGGGTATAGCTCTGTGGTAGAATATTTGCCTAGCATGCACAAAGCCTTAAGTTTGATCTCCAGCACCAAAAAAATACATGTGACAATCTTGAAATCCTCCTACTACAAAACTCCCCACTGTCCAGTATCCATCATCAAAGTTACACCACTGGTAGTTAAAGGGAACACATGCACGAGGGAACAAAGATTCAATTAAAATCCAACCCTGTGCTCTCTCTGCCAAAACGAAAAGAAAAAAAGCGATGGAAAACTATATTTACATAAATTCTAGTAACCACCACATTTTATATATCCCAGAAGGGTTCCTTTACAATTTTCAAATTGATATATAACATACATAAAATACAAAAATTATATGCATAAGTTCAAATTATCACAAAATAAACACATCCATAACCATCTATGAAAAATTAGCAAGCAAATATTAATTTCTCTAATGTCCCATAGCAATCTAATATTCCTTCCCACCTCCCCAAAAGTAACTACTGTCCTGATTTTTAATACTACAATTGTTCCCCCCGCTACTGGGGAATGAACTCAGGGGCTTGCACATGCTAGGCAAGCGTTCTACCACTGAGCTACATCCCCAGCACCCTGATAGCAGGGATTGAACCCAGGGGTGCTTAACACTGAGCCACATCCCCAGCCCCTTTTCAAATATTTTAAATTTTGAAACAGGGTTTTGCTTAGGGCCATGCTAAATTGCTGAGGCTGGCTTTGAATTTGCAATTCTCCTGCTTCTACCTCCCAAGCCACTGGAATTACAGGCATGTGCCATTGCGCTGGCCCCCAGACCTTCTGTAAAATTTTGAGACGGGGTCTCGCTAAGTTGCCCAGGCTGGCCTGGAACTTGCAATCCTCCTGCCTCAGCCTCCAGAATAGCTGGAATTATAAGCATGCACCACCATGCCCAGAAATATTGGAGTTTTGAAAGGGACTAAAATTCATAAAAATTGAGTCATACAACATTTATTCTTTTGCATTCAGCTTCTCTTACTCAATATTATATTTGTGATATTCTTACATGTTAGCTGAAGTTTGGTTATTTTCACATCTGTATTCCACTGTATAAATAATAATTTATTTATCCATTCTGCCCTTGATAGACGTTTGTGTTGTTACCTGCACTTGGCTAGTACAAATAATGTTACAAAGAACCTTCTGATATGGCTTTTAGTGCCAATGCACATATATTTTTATTGAGTATGTTACTAGGAATGGAACTTCTAGGTCATAAATTTTGCATATGTTCAGCTTTAGAATTCATTGTAGGCTAGTCTTTCAAAGTAGCTGTACTAACTTATATTCTACCAGCAGTGTATCATAGTTTGCACTGTTCTACTTCCTCATCAACACTTGGTATTGTCTTTTCAAATTTTAGCTATTCTGGAGAGTGTTCAATTTTATATCACTGTATTCTTAATCTGCAATTTTTATGATGGCTTTCATATTTACTGGCCATTTGCATATCATCTTTTATGATGAGTTTGTTCAAATCTCTTCCTGTTTTCTAAATAGATGTTCAATCTCTTTCTTAGTAACTTGTGGAAATTCATTATTTATTCTGGACATGAATTCTTTGTTCAGTTATATGTTTCAAGTACCATCTTCCTCTCAGCGGCTTGCCTTTTCATTTTCTTAATAATTTTCCTGAGTTTCTTAATCTTGTTGCAGGCCAGTGTGTTAATTTTTATTTTTCAGTGCTTTTTGTGACCAGAAAACTCTTCCTAACTCCAAAGTCATGAAGAGTTTCTCCTGTTTCTATAAGCTTTATTGTATTTGTATAATATTTATATTTATAGTCCATTTGGGATTCATTTTTGTATAGAGGATGATTCATTAATAAACTTTCATGTTTTTCCTATTATAGATATCTAATTTCACCAGTATCATTTACTGAAGAAATTCCTGTCCTCATTACTCTGTAATGCCACCTTTGTCATATATGAAATATTCATATATATCTATTTCTGCAATGTCTGGTCCTTATAACTTTGCACCAAGACTGTACTGTCTCAACGGCTGTAGTTTAATAAGTACTGACATCTGCTAGAGTATGTCCTCTCATTTTGATCTTCATTAAGATTATCCTGGTTCTTAGCTTTTTTTCATTATCATTTTTATTTATTATCATTTTATTAGCTTTTTATTTAAAAATATTTTACTGAGATTTTGACTGGAATTTCATTGGATAAAAAAATAACAATATGGGAAGAATTGACATTTTTACAACACTGACTCTTCCAATCCTTGAACTTGAAAATTTCTCGATGTTTTATGTAAAGATCTTACGCATATTTTGTTGTTATTACTCCCTAGGAGTTCATGTTCTTTGATGCTATTATAAAGGATTTCTTTAAACCCCATTTTCTGTGTAGCGTCTGCTTAAAAAAAATACAAAATTGTTTTTTATGTTGGTCCAACAGCTTTGGTTTTTTTTTTCTTTCTTTTGAGCACAATGTCTCTATATCCAGGTTGGTCTCCAACTCCTAGGTTCAAGTGATCCTCCTGCCTCAGCCTCCTAAGTATCTTGGACTACCAGGCACATATCACTATACCTACATCCAACATCCTTTTTAAACTCATTTATCAATTCTAATAGCTTATCTAGATACCTTTTCAATTTTTTATATCCACAGTTATGTTGCATCTAAATAATAGCTTTACTTCTTATCCAATCTTTATCATTTTTGGTATCTTTTGCTTTCCTTATTTCTTCGGACCTCTGATAAAATGTTGAATATAGATTTTTTTTTCTTTTCTTTTCATACTGCTGGAGGGATCAAACCCAGGGCCTCATACATGCTAGGCAAGCATTCTACCACTGGGCTATATCCCCAGACCCTGAATATAGTTTTATTTCAAGCATTAAGTCCATTTTCACTTAAGATATATTACTTGGATATACTTTGATTTGAATCCTTTTCTTTTGCCTTGTTTTTTTCCTTCTCTCTCTCTCTCTCTCTCTCTCTCTCTCTCTCTCTCTCTCTCTTTCTTCCTACTTCCCCCTTACTCCAATGCCAATGATCAAACCCAGGGCCTTGCACTTGCATGTACTTCCTCTGCCACTGAGCTTAGTCCCGACACCTTAAATTCTTTTTCTCTTTAAAGTATTTTTATTATTTGTGTCTATACTATAAATATTTTTTCTCTTCTTTCTTGCCTTCTTTTGGACTGTATTTTATTAGTCCAATTTTTCCCTTTCTGTTAATTTGATGGTCATAGTCTATTCACAGTAACAAATTAAAACAAACAACCCTGACCTATCATAGACTAAAATTACTTCTTCACGAACAACATAAGATCCTTAGAAATTAACTCCATTTACTGCCCTCCCAACCTATATGGCATTGTTGTTAATCCCACAAAACATTATTCATTTAGATTGCCTACATATTTACCTTTCCATTGCTCTTCATTACTTCCTGTTATCTCTGAGCTTCCATCTGGAATCATTTTCCTTCTGCCTGAAGAACTCCTTTTAGTTTTTCCTTTAGTGAGGGTCTGCTGGTGACAAATTCCCTTAATTTTTGTTTCCTGAAAATATTTTTTATTTCACCTTACTTTTTAAAAGATATACTTATTGAGTAGAGAATTCTAGGTTGGCAGTTGTTTTCTTTCTTTTGGCTTCCATTGTTTCTATGGAATACTCCACTAGATTTAGGCCCCATATTTCTTCACTGCCTTATTAGTTTTCCAAAGCCTTGAAACATATATTTTTCCAAGCTTTCACAATTTATACAAATTACCCTGACTGTTGTCAACAGAATCTTTTTGAAGTCAATTTAGTGCAAGAGTATCCAAATGAATGAAAAATATTATTTTAAACATTAGGTTAAAAAATTGCACTAAATTCTCATTGAATAGAACCTGTAGTTAAAGAATTAAGGTATATCACTGTCAAAGGTTCAAAAAACAATCTTCCACTAAAGTAATGATATAATGTTATCAATCATGAGAGAAATACTAAAGAGAACTTTGAGGTTTATTTTCTGCCTCCTCATATTTATGATCAGCATTAAAAATCATTTCTTTTTAAAAGGGCAGAGGGGTTCAAATCCACAATGATGAAATTTTTTTCTTAGTAGGAAATTAAGTGATTACTATTAGATAATTAAACAAAACAAATGCCACCACACAGCCAAATTTTTGTATATTATAAACTTATCATCTAAGGTGTAACCATTTAGCATTAGCAGACCCAGAATGTCATTATATGACCACTTTATGATGCAATTCTATTGCTCAGACCCTAAAGAAAAACTTGAGGCTCAGTTCTAAGTTAACAACCTTAGTCAGAAAACGGTAGCTACTATTACCAAGAATACTTATCTCAAAATCTCCATATACAATACTTTATAAATTCTTCCAACAAAAAAAAAAGAAGGGAACACTATCAATTCATTCTGGGAGGTTGCTATTAACCTCATACAAAAATCACACAAAGACATCACAGAAAAGAACACTATCAACAACCCTGTTGAGGATTTTTACATCTGCATTCATAATAAATGTTGGACCTTATGAATGCAAACACAAAAATCCTCAACAGATTAGTAGCAAACCAAATCCAACAACACACAAAAAGGATAATAACACCACAACCAAGTACAATTTATTACAGGAAAATGAGATTAGTTTAACATCAGAAAATCAATTAATGTAATTACTATAGAGACTTAACGGCATCTACCCAAAATTCATATGTTGAAGTTCTAGCCCCTAATGTGACTATATTTGGAAACAAGGCTATTAGGAAATAATTAAGGCTAAATGAAATTATAAGGATGGGTTCCTAATCTGATAGGATCAGTGACCGTCTGAGAAGAGAGACAGAGAGATCATCCTTCCCTCTGCCAAGTGATAATACAGTAAGAAAGCGGCCATCCACAACCTAGGAAGACAGCCTTCACCAAAAACTGACACCTAAATCTTGACTTCCTAGCCAATTAAGAAATTAATTTCTGCTATTTAAGCCACCTAGTCTCTAGTATTTTATTATGGCAGCCTGAGCTAATAGAGTAATATGCTATATTAATTGGCTAAGTGAAAAATACATAATTTCTAATAGGTGCACATAAGGATTTGACAAAGCCTACATCCTTTCATAATAAATAAATGGTTTCCAGACTGGAAAAGAAGTAGCAAAACTATTTGATGATGATATGATCTTACATATTAAAAAATCCTAAAAAATCTATTAAAAAATTATTAAAGCTAAAAAATAAGTTCAGCAACATTGCATAATACAAAATCAATATTTTAAAAAGCTATTATAGGGCTGGAGTTGTGGCTCAGTGGTAAAGCACTTGTCTAGCATGTATGAAGTGCTGGATTCAATTCTCAGCACCACATATAAATACATGAATAGAATAAAGGTTCATAAACATGTAAAAAATATTTTTTTAAAAAAAGCTATTATAGAGCTGGGGTTGTAGCTCAATGGTAGAGCGCTTGCTTGGCATGTGTGAAGCACTGGGTTTGATCCTTAGCACCATATAAAAATAAATAAATAAAATAAAGGTATTGTGTCCATCAACAACTAAAAAAAAATTTTTAAATCTATTATATCACTCTGTATATTAGCAATGAACAATCCAAAATGAATTAAGAAAACAATTTCATTTACAATAGCATTGAAAAGAATAAAATACTTAGGAATAAATTTAACATAAACACTGTAAGACTTGTACATTTAAAAATCACAAAACACTGCTGTAAGATTTTAAAGAAGCTGCATATAAATGGAAATACACACTCCCTGTTCATGATTTGGAAGACTTACGAATACTCCCCCAGTTTATCTAAAGGTTCAACAAAATCCCTATCAGAATACAGCTGCCTTGCTGAAGAAATTGAAGAGGTAACCCTAAAATGCATATGGAACAAAAACAATCTTGAAATAAAAGAACAAAGTTAGATGGCTCAAACTTCTGGATTTCAAAACTTAATACAAAATTATAATACACAAGACTGCAGGAGTGATGTCTGACTAGCTGTGCCTAGCACATTTTCCTCCACGTACATGTGCGTGCTTGAGCACACACACAAACACACTCAAGACCAAAAAGAAAATGCAATAATCATTTCACTATAGTGTTTGAAGCACAGCTTCATAGCAAAGTGAAGATATTGCAAAGATGTCACAGACCACAAAGACTCATGATAGCCTAACAGAGAAAGTGTGTTAGTCAACTTTTCATTATTGCAACAAAACATCTGAGATAATCAACTTACAAAGAGGAAAGGTTTGCTTTGGCTCACAATTTTAGAGTTTTCACTCCTAGACTGATTGGGTTGCTTCTGGGCCTGTGTAAAGGCAGCAATTATGGCAGGGAGCATATGATGGAACAAAGCTGTTTGACTCAAGACTCAGATGCAAAGACTCAGGACCCCACCCATCCACCCTCAGCCCAAGGAAGCAAGTGGACAGCCCCATATGAGCAGATTAGCCACTGGAAGGTGTGCAAAGTCACCTTCACAACCCTTGAACACTGACAGGAGCCCTCTTCCAGTGCAGACCAGTCCCCACACAGCCTTCACACACTGACACTCTAACCCACTACCAGGCACACAGCACCAGATTCACCTAGGCCCACACTAAAGGAAGCCCACCCCAACCCAGCTCTTAGAAAATGATGGGACCTTTGCCTCCACTGCTATACCACTGTGCCTCATCTGCCAAGGCCCACCAAAATGGCCCAACCCCTATGCAAATCACACCTATGGACACACTCATTAGGAGCCAGAAGTACTACACCCAGAGTTGCCAGCAAACTCACCATGCCTAAGAAAGCTGCAACCCTATGACCCCTGAATCTAGGCCACCAATATATCCTCAGGCAACTCCAAAACTGATTATAGGTGAAAAAATTACATGGGCACTATGCTAACACACTAACCTAGAACCAAAACCAATGTATTTTATCTAACTCAATAACTGAGGACACATCAACAGCAGAGTTGTTTACTATGAAAATCACCCTGTAAAAGTAGTATACACAACTGATTTGTTGTATGCACAAATATCCATGTAGTAACACAAGAATCATAAAAAAACAAGGTTACATGATGCTTCAAAAGCAACTTAATAACTCTTCAGCAACAAATCTCAAAGAAAAGAAAACCAACAAACTATCTGAAAAAGAATTCAAAAGATTTTAAGGAAACTCAATGAGATACAAGAGAATGCAGACAATTTAATGAACTTAAGAAGACAATTTACAATATGAATGATAAATTCACCAAAAAGAAGTCACAAAACAGAATCAATGTTCAATAATAATGTTGGAGTTAAAGAACTCAATAAATCAAAGACAAACTACAACTGAAGCTCTTAATAGCAAATTAGATCAAGCAGAATAATTTCTGAGCTTAAGTACAGGTTTTTTGTGGGCTAAGGATGTACACTTCAGTGGTAAAGCACTTGCCTAACTATAGAAAGGCCCTAGGTTCAATTCCTAGTACTGGGGAAAAAAAATTTAAAAGAATGGTCAAAGTCTATTAAGACTCAGGGGAGATGATTAAGCAAGGAAACTTTTGCATTTATGGGTATTCTTTAAAAAACTAGAAAAGATAAAGGGAATTTTTTTCCTTTTCTTTTCTTTCTTTCCCCCAGGGCCTTATACATATATACTAGACAAGCACTCTACCAACTGAGATATACCCCAGTCCAAAGGGAATTTTTTTAAACAAATTTTTAGTTGTAGTTGGACACAATATCTTTATTTTACTTATTTATTTTTATATGGTACTGAGGATTGAACCCAGCACCTCACACTTGTTAGGTGAGTGCTCTACCACTGAGCCACAACCGCAGCCCAATAAAGGGAATTTTTAAGAAATAAACCTATTCAGTAAAATAACTGCTGAATTTTTCCAAATCGTAAGAAAGATATGCACATTCAGGTTCAGGAAGCTCAAAGGGGCTCCAATAGATTCTACCATAAAAGGTTCTCTCTGCAACAGTTTGGACCTGGAATATCTCCCAAAGGCCTATGTATTAAAGGATTGGTCCTCTACTTGGAACTATTAGAAGTTGTAGAAACTGGAATGGGGATATAGCTCAACAGTAGAGCACTTGTATGTTCAATGTCCTAGGTTTGATACCGGGCACAAAAAAAAAGAAAAAAAAAAGGAGGAAAAATGGAAAGATGGGGCCTATTAGGAAGTTCTAAGTCATTGGAAGGTATTCCTACACTAGAAGCAAAAGCAAAAGCCCTCAAAGGAATTGTAAAACCCCTTTCACAATTCACAAGAGGAGCCCACTCCTCTTCTTTTTGCACACAGGGTAGGAGGTAAACAGCTTTGCTCTACCACACACTCCCTACCATAATATCCTGCCTAACCACAAGCTCAAGCAAGGTTAACCAAGTCTGAACTGAAACCTTCAAAACTATGAGCCAAAATAAATTTTTCCTTTCTGTAAGTCGTTTTATCCTCAGTAATAACTAGAT